TTATGGTGAACTCAGCAGCTGAAAAGAAGAGAGAACATCCTGAAAAAGAGAGAGTCACAGAAAGGCTACCCCGTGTCTTGTCTATAAATTCTGCTCAAGTATCCAGCTATGCTCTGAATTATGGCTGTGTTGGGCAGATTACAAGCAGTGTAGATAAGACTAAAATAACAACTTAAATTTAGGCATTTGGAGATTAAGTTTATTTGTGAAACAACATATCAATATTCCTTAGTGGGATATAAAAGAACCAGACTATTTACAACATACTATTTATAGTCTAGAATAAAAGCCAAATTTACTAGATATTTGGAAGAGCAGAAAATTTTACTTGCACTGAAGAGAAAAAAGGCCATCAGTGGAGATGAGTTCCCAAATGACACAGATTTGCATCTAACAGACCTGCTTTCTAAGCATGCATTGAAATTATTCTCAAAAGCATAGAGGACAATACAAGGGACAGCTAATGGCGAGTGTGCATGTGTTTGCGCAGATGCACTCAATTTTTCACGTGAAATATTGTTACTTATTTAGAAATGATGACAGAAAATAGCTTCATTATCCAGGCTCAACATCAACATTGCAGTCAAGTCTTTTTCCATAAGAGATTCATTACTGACAAACAACAACAATTTTTTTTTTTTTTGAGTCAGGATCTTGCTGTACACTTCAGGTTGTCCCTGAGCTATATAGCCCAGGCTGCCCTCATGGTAGTTGTCCTGCCTCAGCCTCTGGAATACTGAGATTACAGGCCTAGGTACAAAATAATTTTAAAAGTGTTGAGTGGATGCTATGGTGACAATGGGAAAAACAAACCAGGTATGATTTTCTACTCACAGACTCAGGACTTGACTTAAATCTAAACAACTATAATTGTAGTCAAAATAACACATTTCATAAAACTGCTCCTTCAATATAGTCTGAGGCCCCAGTGGCAGAAATTTTTGTTTGCCAATTAGGGGGAAAGAGGACATAATGGAGAGCTGAAATGGACCATAGAAGATTCTTAGGCTTCTTTTCGTGCAGGGAAGTTGGGCAAAGGAGGGCACCTGGGTGCAGGAAATGAGGAAAATTCTGAATGCAATGAAAGGCAGCAGCGATCCCACCTGCCGAGAGTGGACTGCGGTGGGAGGAAACCTATGAAGAGGAACTAGATCCAGAGTGCAGAGGGCTGGCCTAAGCCTTTTGTACACCATTCCCAAGGTTCCAGGAGATCAGTGAAAGGAAAATATGCAAAAGCCTAGTGTGATTTTGTTTTTGCAAGCTACAGATCCATAAAGCATTTCCCCAATTTATTCTTTATGGTTTCTACAATTACCTAGTTAAAAAGCAAATAGAACAGCTCCTACAATTTTAGTGCAGACAGCTTTTGTCTGTCATGACTTAAGCTACCCTCTGACAGATGTGAATAAAGAATAAGAATAAAAAGATGTGTCAAGGCATTTCTCAGCATTTTGATTACAAAGTCTATGTATGAGCTTATGATTTGACAAATTCTTTCAATGTGCTATTAGAACTCACCCTGCTATTCCTTACAATAGTTTTAGGGGAGTAAATTTATCTTTACAAATTGAAACTCATATATAATATGCAAATTAAGTTCAATTATATGCTTTTAGTTTTGTAGAAATAAATGCTTGTTTCCTAAAGTCCTTTATGCGGTCTTATTTTGAAGAAATTCAGGAGCTCTGATGTCAGTTTATTAATAGGTAGTTATAAAATTGCATTTCAAATTTAGCAATGTCAATAACAAATGTAAGCCACACCAAAAATATATAAGCAAATAATGCCTTAGGGATGGAGGGTGCATCTCAGTGGTAGAGTGCTTGATCAGCCTGTGTGAGCCACGTTTGTATCTGGGGCCCCAAAGACAAAGACACTGAATTATAATGTGAGCAAAGTGTTGTTATATTCTAGTCATTTCAAGTCTAGAAGTGTTCCCTGGGAGAATTTTGGGATTTGGGAATATTGGAATATAATACTTTCAGAGTACTTTAGAACCAAGAAGGATAGTAGATTTGTATGTCTCTGCATTTCACATGCTTCATCTTTCCTCCTACTCCTTATAGCTAATGACATTAAGGAAGGGAAGCTGCATCGATAGCCACATTTTGTGGCATATCAGTGAGTTCTTAGGTAATGTTGTTTGACTTTGTTTTTTTCTTTTCAAAGTTTTATTGATAAACATATAGTAATGAGACAGTTTCAAATCAAATCGAAAGTACAGTTTCAACAAATAACACACTGCATATATTCTTCTTAGTGGCTAATTGCTGTACAAGATGCAGACTTGTGATCCTATTTACAAACACCATTAGAAAAAATCATTCTATTCATTAAGAGAATGCAACTATATCTCTATCCCAAATACTTTGAATACACAGATACAAAATGGACATTCATAGTCATACCCCAATTTTTAAGTTCCGTTATTGAATATTATAGGTGTGTAAACTCAGCAAAATATTCTAAAAGAGTCCAGTAGCCCATAATAGCATTGGGTCTTCTGTTTAACT